CCGCTTTTTGTCAATAGACAATGTTGTTTATCATAAGTGTCGTAATCTTGTTTATAATCAAACTTCGTTTTCCTTCAACACATCGATTGGAATAATTGGTACTGAAATTGACACTTTCGACTAGGATTGGCTAAAAGTTTTACAACTGAGGTTTAACACGCCCAGACGCAGTTTTATAAAGAAAACAGACTAGAAAAAGTTTAGATACCAATCATAGATGGCAGGGCCAGTAATGAAATGTGAAAGGAAATATCTCAAAAAATTTTTGTAAAAAAAAAACAATTTCTTCTTAGAGGACGCTTATTTACAGTCAAAAACGTATTTTAGGAAATTTTTCATTACATTCCTCTTTAAACTTCATTAAATAATACAATTTTGTACAAATAATTGAATGTTATGCTACTATTTATAAATATAAAATCAGAAATCCATTAAAAGATAAGTTCTCTATCATTTTTCAATTCACAAATGATTTTGCCCTCACACTTGCATTGCCTACTAAGAAAGTTAGTAGCCGGTAGTCATCGGGTTAATTAACTTACTGTTAATAATCTATTGGTTTAATGTTAGTGGCTATTATTTGGGACGAACAATACTAAGGATGTGGCAGTGTTACGACAGCGGAAGTCACGTGATACTGGTAACATATGATGAGTTTCTAGAAGGATCATGAAGGCCCGAGTGTTTGCCAGATGCCCTCTATTTTAGTATATAAGCCCGGCAAATAATAGCAGATGGTGAGATATAATAATGGTTGGAGATGGCTTGAATGGGCAATGAAGAAAAACTTTACCTGATGATGACAAAACCTTGTCGAAACGTTGTACATTTGCTGTTATGTTAAACTTATATTAAAGTTTTTCTTCATTACCCATTCAAGCCGTCTCCAGCCATTATTAGTCTCAAAGTGGGTTCCTCGTCATCGAATTCGAAGATGGTAAGATAGATAATTGAGTCAAGCGAGCTGTAGGTACCATAAGTAAAGTGCGTGAAGTGTTGTGAATTATAGCGTGTGTTTACAAAAGTAGTTAACTTTAAAGTGACTGTGGAAATTAAGTATATTGCAAAGTTGTATTGAGAAAGAATAAACTAGTTTTATTTAAGAAAGGACTTGCATTGCTGAAGTTCCTCGGGAAGAATGTATACCGGAAATTAACAAACGAACAGAGATGTAACAATATGTATATATGTGCTACCTTTTGTTCATTGATTGACTACTATTTATGAACAAGACCAATATAAGAAATATAAAAAATAGTGAACACATTACACATAAATTTAAGTACAGTGGATGTTTGGATTGCAGTAAAAAACTGTTTCAAAACTTTATTTTATTATTTCAATCAAATGTATTATGAAAGGAAAACCCTAAAATTTCATAAAAGTTTAATACAAATTTATAAACTATTATTAACTGAAAAAAGACATTTTAGTAAAATAATACCTTCCATAGTATTACTCAAGAAACAATTTCTATCTAGATAAATTTATCTGATGTTGCTAGATTACCAGTCGTGGAGAACTCTTTTGGAAACTTTGCAATTTTGCCCTTGAGCATTGTAGGCATTTTTTTCTTTATAAAGCTATTCAACTGAAAACATAAAACAGTATTTTGAAAGTGGCCAAGTCAGAGATCCAAACATTCATGTATAGCCATCCCTAATTTAAAATATCTGAGCAGAAACCAACCACATATGTAAGTGCTAAGATTACACATGTTGCTACAGCCAACATCTGCAGTAGCTTATCATTTGTGTTTTCAGATCATTCTTATCACAACTCTCTATAAACATTCAAGTTTGCCAGTCACATCATTTTGTTATTGCAATGATCTACTAATTATTGTAAAAGCTTAAGACTGTTTGCCATAAATGAAATTTAACCATGCCTTTTAAATCAAACACTAAAACAATATAAAATGGCTCAAACTAAACAAATAACAAGTTCATTGATGCACCAAGCTCAGTATGATTACTATTTCTCAAAGGCCTACCTCAGCCTGATTGTCCGTAACATACAAGGCTACAACAGGTTGATGACTATTATTTAAATATACACATGTAAACCAGGTCAAAAACTATGCTTCTATTCCTGAAGAACTGATCACAGTACACAATGTACATTCATGTACCCTATATTAATTTTTAAAGCACCAATCAGATTTCAAAAATTAAAGACAAGTATAAAATAACTCAAAAAACTGTAGCAATGCATTGCTCTAACCAGTTTATGTAAAGTGAATTTGGTAAAGAAAGGATTCTTGCTTAACTTTAAAAAATACTTTTTTTGGTTTAATCAAAAGGTATGACATCATTACTGCTAAAAAGTAAATAAAAATGTGAAAGTTCTACACAATATTAGGTAACAACCTCCTTGCAACAGACATATTTTTTACAAGCTGCAATTTAATGTTGCCTTAAAAGTGAAACACATGCACACACATTGTTAGATCTTTCCCTTTTATTACAAAATTTATAAACAGAACTTCTATCTTTACTTCTGCATCATCGTTTGCTTTTAGGTATGTTTGAAAAGCACATGTAATTAATTCACTGTTTGTACCCTTATCTACCTAATCTTACTTTTACATAATACTGATCTGTTCTGAAGGCATATACTGATGAGTACAAGCTTTTGTACTGAATGACAAATCCTCACAGTTGATTGGAAAATTACACTAACTGATGAAAGTTACTTAGCATTCATTAGCTATTATAATGTACATATTGAATGGTAATAAATTCTCAAGGTTGTAATAAACTTAAAGTGATTAAAATTAGTGCTGATACACTACCAAAGTTGACTACAAGTTTAAAGTGATAATTCATTCAAATTTGCCCGAGTTTAAAGCAACCAATATTAAATAATATTGGTTCACTTCCAGTTTCCAATGAATTTACAGTGACTAAACTTAGTGATGATTCATTGCCAGAGTTGATTAGAAGTTTAATGACTGGAATTAAAGTGATAAATTATTCCCAGATTAGAGTATGACTTTACAGGGACAGAAATAAAATTGTTCATTCCTAGAGTTGTCTATGAGTTTACAGTGACCAAAATTGCTGATGATTCACGCTTAGATTTGACTATTAGTTTACAGTAGCTAATATTAAAGTGATAATTCCTTCCCAGAGTTGTTTATGAATTTACAGTGACTAAAATTAAACTGACAATTCATTTTCAGAGTTGACTATGACTTTACATTGACTAAAATTAAAGTGATCATTGGTTCCCAGATTTTCTGTGAGTTTGCAGTGGCTAATATTAATGTGATAATTTATTTCCAAATTGTCTACGAGTTTACAGTGGCTAATATTAAAGTGATAATTTATTTCCAAATTGTCTACGAGTTTACAGTGGCTAATATTAAAGTGATAATTTATTTCCAAATTGTCTACGAGTTTACAGTGGCTAATATTAAAGTGATAATTTATTTCCAAATTGTCTACGAGTTTACAGTGGCTAATATTAAAGTGATAATTCCTTCCCAGAGTTGTTTATGAATTTACAGTGACTAAAATTAAACTGACAATTCATTTTCAGAGTTGACTATGACTTTACATTGACTAAAATTAAAGTGATAATTAATTCCCAGATTTTTTGTGAGTTTGCAGTGGCTAATATTAATGTGATAATTTATTTCCAAATTGTCTACGAGTTTACAGTGGCTAATATTAAAGTGATAATTTATTCTCAAGGTTGACTATGACTTTCTAGTGACTAAAATTAAAGTGATGATTCATTCTCAGACCTGACTGAGTTTACAGTAGCTAATATTAAAATGATGATTCATTCTCAGACCCAACTGAGTTTACAGTAGCTAATATTAATGTGATAATTCAAACTGAAAGTTGACTATGACTTTACAGTGACTAAAATTTAAGTGACAATTCATTCTACGAGTTGACTAGTGACAAAAATTAAGCTGATGATACATTCCCAAAGTTGTCTGAGTTTACAGTGATGCAAGTAATGACTCAATCTCTGAGCTTATTATAAAGTTACAGCGATTAAAATATATATGCTGATCTGTTCTCACTAACTGTTATATACTTATATACACCAGTAAGAGTGGAAAGCATATGTTTACTCAAAATGTTATTTACAGTGATTTTAAGAAGAAATGTTGATTAATTAGTTCATATTAAAGCTTACACTGACTGTAAATGAAAGCTGTAGTTTACTCTCAATCTTGGCTAAAACCCAACATTACAAAATCCTGGCAAAAAGATATTCTTCCATTAAGACAAATGTAACAACTTTGCTATGGCCTGTATTAGTAATAAATGCTGGTGTTTTGACACACATGATCAGAAAAAGTTCAATTTTAAATTTACATTTTTATTGTACTGAATCTCAATAAAAATATGAATATTCTTAAGTTACTTCACGTTGAAAAGCTATGCAATAACAAATCCGTTAAAAATACAAGAGATTGTCTTACAACAATAAAATTGAATGGTAAAGAGTGGCTGAAATACCTCAGTCTCACCTTTTCGTTTAAATAGTTGAAACATTCTAAAAAAATGCAACTGAAAAAAATAAACTAATACTCTCCTACATATGATGTTAAATTTCACAGCAGTGTGTTACAAAAAAATTCATATATATCAGATAATAACCTAAGCTCAGAAGATTCTCTTTAAGTTTCTACATCTTTCATCGCTAAGTGAGTGCTTAAGGGATTTATCTTGCCATGATATAGAAATTAATAACAGTCTAGCATCTGTCCTCTATAAGTGTGACTTGAGAACACTAACAAATACTGATGTCTCTCCAATTTACAGATTCCAACATCACTTTGCATAAACAAACTTAAGTGCATGAAGCACAAACCATGGTATACAAATTACATAAACACCATTGATATATCACTCCTGCTTAACTAGAAAGGCTGACAATGATATGTTAAATCAGAATGGACAAGGACATAATACAAGAGATGAATTGAAAATAACGTACCTGAGCATCGATGCTCAACACATAAAAAAATAAAACACTACTCTTTTATTTTGTGCTAAGTTTGAACCGTTACAAGACCAGAAAAGCAAATTATTTGAGAATATATTACAAGGTTCTTAAAATTAGTATTATAAAACTTTTTTAAAAATGCAAAGATTACAAACATACCTGTAAAATACCTGTTACAAATTTATTCTCGACAACACTGTAAATTACGAAATTTTCTCAGTACTATTAAATTTGTGAAAAGCATCAAGTGCATTTAATTATTAAAGAAAGTCATCATATTTTGAAACTGTCTTTCAGCCTCACTGATGTGCTAGATTAAGATTACAAACATTTCTTTTTCATCAGTTAAGAAATCTGTTGACCAGTATTTCTATTCTTTTTAGTTATGTTTCTGAGACACTCCCCAAATTTAAGCCAGTTGCATTTGTTATTTAGAAAGCCAATAGACGTTATTTCTATTACTTTGATCATCTCATATACCACCTAAAAAGAAATAATATAATAAAATTTTGTTGTTGATGGAAAAAGCTACAAAAGCTATCTTCCACTGCCCCTAATTTTGAACTGCCAACCATAAGGAAGGCAATCAGCTGGCAGCAGCCACTACCAATTCTTGGGCTACTCTTTGCTAACAAATAGTAAGACTGATTGACTGTGACATTATAATACCCTTGTGATTGAAAGGGCAAACATATTTGTGAGTCAAGCACCTTGACCACCAGGCCATTTTCTAATATACATTTTTTTAACTTTATGCCCTGAAGGAAACTATAGTCTGTTACTCAACATTGTTGAAATATTTAATCCAAGAAAGTTTTTGAGAAATATATTTCTGCAAGCACCTTAAACTTCAACTGGAAATTTTTAGTATTAAAACTCTGTAGGTAAAATTTCATTAAAATGTAACAAAAGTGTGTTTGCTTTTAAAACTTAAAAACATAAATTTCAGCATGTCAAGAGAAATATGGCTGATAAAAAAAATATAAAGGTTTAAACACAGCAAATATTTTTTTACAAATGCAAGTGGTTTTGCTTACTATAGGTAATCTATAAATAAGAATATCAATGATGATATTCAAGGTTTTTTTATCCCTGAAGAACAGCTGGGCTGTTCAAAACATAGATTTTGAATCTTGAATTTTTAAATTTTATTTATATGTTTTCATTTTGATATATATTTTGTGATTTACACTAATTGCGACTTAAAACTGTGTAAAATGATTCTAATGGAGTTTATGTAACATCATACAACTGACACAGAGCAAGTGTAAACACTCTATGTAAAATCAATTGCAATAACAAGTCTAATGACAAACATACATTTTACAAACCCATCACATGTACAAAATGCCAGATCTTGTGAGAAATTTAGTTCAGTAAATTTGTCAAACTTTAAACCAGTTTTAATAAAATATTTATACTAGGGAGTCATATTTAACATACAATTTTAAAACACTCTGGATCATTTCATGCCATATAAGCAAGTTACTTTTTTCTGTACAAAAAAAATGTTACAAATAATAATTTAAGTATATTAATGATGTCAATGTTGCATTTTAAGAAGTTTACTAATTCATTTTGAATACATACGTTATCAGATGCTTTCATATTTTTACAAGTCTCAGAGTACAGACTATTCATATTTAAGCTTTCTTAACATAGTGAAAGAATAGATAATAGCAAAGAAAAATATGTGCGGAAGTTTCTATCGGTGTTCATATGAATTTGTGAACCAAAATCATTAATGTTACAAACCTGGCTGCAACATATAGCATGCAGAAAATTAATCTTATAAAAATTTTTCTTTTTTATAAACATTTCAATATGTTTTTATATTCAAATGGATATAATGTAATCTGTCTACCCGAAAATTGTTTAAAAGTCTGATTAAAACTACAATAGGGTCCCTAGCCAATTATTATTCTAAATGTTTTTGAAATGATGAAATACATAAAAATACATTATATTTCCTTGAAGCTTAGTCACATTTCATATTATCAACACATACAATATCAGCAGTGCATATATCTATTTGTAGTTTGGTAGATGTACATGTTGTTACTTTAATATCATGCTTTGAATTATTATTCATCCCAAATATCAGTTTTGTGGTGATATACCTATATACAGCAATTTTATGAAAATTATGGTTAAACTGTCAGTACGTACTCTAAACTATTCTCTCAAGTCCCTTTCAACTTAAATATTTTTGGAACTGCTTCTGTCAGATTGTTTCCTACACCACTATACCTAAAACACATTTTTATTTCCTTTTATTAGGAGGGTGGGAGAACAAAGAAGTCAAATTATTTCCACAAATGGCTGAAAAATAACTTAAGAATCCTTAAACTAACATGTATGAAAAGCAATGTATGACATTCCAATAAAAACACCTGTGTCTATAAGACTACAAATTGATAGTTTGAATATGAGTATTTATATCTCTTGCTGACAGAATTAGAATCTTATGAGGTGCAGAACACTTAAATTTTATAAAATAGACTTTGGTAGACTATTTGAAGAAAGTAAAGGTTTTAAAGGTTCTCTAGTCTGTAGTCCTAATTAGGAAACATGTTCAGGGATAAACTAGCTTTATAAAGATCCACACTGTATTCCTAAATTACAAGTTATAGGATAAGAACCATGGTGTACTCCCACATTAAGTTTCTGTTTGGTGTTTTAAGTGCAAATTTAATCAATGGACTACCTGATCTCTGTCCACTGCAGGGAAACAAACCCTGAATTTTAGCATTGGAAGTCTATGAACTTACCATTGACCCACTTGGGTACCCTGCATTAATTGACAGTTTTAACCCCTTCCACAAGTTGCTCAAGTTATTTTGGACAAAAAATTTCTAGTCATACTTTTAATTATTTACCCAAATTTATTCACATGTTATCATGTATTACAATTAGTGCTCACTAGATGGCACTGGAAATTTTGTTTGTGCTGAGCTCTATCAGATTTATTCTGAATTGTGTGTCATAAATACTGGAGAAAAGCATTTCTATTCTTTACTTTAATTTTATTGAAATAATATATATCCCATATAAATCCAGATATATAACATTTATTTACTAAGTATATTTTGTGCAGAAATATAATAACAGATTATGAAACAGATTTTGTTTCAATAACGTAAAAGTATAGGCTACCAAAATTTGACTTCTTTTCTTTTTTCTCATTTCCAAAAACAAACAATAGGGAATTTTCAATAGCCACGGTACTTGAAATTATTTTAGGCAGGATTAGAGTAAATTAATCTACAAGACATTTTTTCCCCTTTTGATTAGCTATATATTTGTGCACTAACAATATTAAGCATGGGATGCTCATATACCTGGTTCAATCTCATTACTCATCAGGACCTCTTCCTACCTTCTGAGTCGAAAACTGTAATTATATCTCAAATTTATCAAGAGAGGATGGAGCTACGAGCTAAAATTTTTACTTGAAAAAACACTCAATGTCATTCTGTGAGCCGCTATGCCGCGGCTAAAAATAATGACACAGAAGGGGTAAAGGAATATCACAATCTTGTAAAAATCTTTGATGCATTAATGAACAAAATCAATTGTAAAATTCACTCTGTATTATGATACTAAACATTCTAGTATAAGTAATTTTTCTGTGTTCCACATCACAAAGTTAATTTATGAGCTTTGACATATGACAAATTAATAACATTCTTAACATTAAAAATTTTGCAAGTTAGCAGATTCTACCTTCAGAGTTTGCTCTTGTCATTCATTAGATGAAAAAGAAAACTAGAAGCATTTTAATAAAGACTAAAAAATAGAATGTAAAAAGTTTAGTTTAATAGTAGCAGTGACACAAGGTCAATTAGTTTTGTTGTTTCAAAATTCAGAAATAAACATTAGCATTATAAACCAAACATGATGTTAAATACTGGCTATTACACATTATTTTGTAATTTTACGTACATACTACACAACAGGAACTCAAAAGAATGTGTGTAAAAGCATGTGTTACTACTTAAAATTTTTCAATGTTAAAAATATTATACTACCATGATTATTCATACACTTATAAACAAAAGTTAAGAGAATATTAATACATGTTTTTCTACATACTTCATATCTCAAATACATCATACAACAAAACCTTTAATTTATAACACTAAATATGAATACTAGTAAAATAGCAGTACTTATTTTTTCATTAATTTTTCAATTGCACAGTGTTCAAAATGAAAAATTAGTTTTGGCAATAAAATGGAGAAACCTGCAAAAGGCTTATGTAATGTTTTGTTTTTAATATTGCATACTAATGCCAAACTTTTTTAAACCACAAGAAATTTTATATCATGTTATCTTTTAAGGATTTTTAAAATATAGTTTCACATGTATCTAATCAAATTAACCACTTTCTGAAACATAAGTAGCACAAAAAATTGTTTTTAAAATACTTTGGGTTTTACAAAGACATGAGTGTGCTATACACATGATTATATAATATTAACAAAATTTTTTTTGTAATTATAAACATATTACAAGTACACAGAACAGTGCTTACAGGGAGCCTTTTTATAATTGTACATGAACAGAAAGCTTCTTAGATTAATATATGTGAAATTTAGCCATTTCTTTCAAGTAGTAGTAAAAACTTGACATAAAATTAGGCTAAATAGTACTATTACTCATCATGATTTTAGTTGAGAATTATCAAAAGAAAAAAAAGAGAGAGATTTCATACAAATCTTTCAATAAGATAATAATAATACAATGAGATTATATGACCATGAAACAAGTACCAAGATAAAACTTCTAAACTGTTACAACGAACACAAGTTAGTCAGCTTTATTTACCAACTTTTAAAGTTATGAACACAATATCAAAAGCTACAAATTTATGTGTCTAACCACAAAGACGTATCAAATTAGTCTAATTTTTTTTTTTTTTCATAAGAAGGACAAAATTAATACTAAATCATTATATCTTGTTTAAAGTCACAGTAAAAATAATTCAACTATTAGGTAAACTTGGGATTTACAAAGGACTTCAAAAAAAAAGACATTCATTATTGAAACTCTCACTATCTCACAAACTAATATAAAAAAAAATTATAATATTGTAATTCTTGACAAGTTTCCTGCAATGAAGCTGCACCATAGTTCAAGAGTAATCAATACTGAGTCATCAACAGAAATAATTATTTCTTTAGTTCCATCACTTCAACAGTCAACATTAATTGTTAAGTGTTCAGTTAGACCACCTCAGGAATAAGGGATGGCAACATAAACCCTGGAAATAACAACTGGTCAGTGTATTTTGTCTCTTTTGGACAAGTTTGTAATAACTGTTGCTTCCAAGAAATGTCTATACAGCTTTTGAAAAAGTGATGCTTTCAAACAAACTGGTCTACCTTAACTTCCTTTGTACCTTCTTTCATATGAACTGAGTAAAAGAAATGTTTCTTAACTGCTACTTCTTATTTCCAATATTTTTCACTTCCTGTCACAGATGCTTCTGGAAGACCAAAGCTGGTATGTGTTGTGTTCATTACAGCTGGCTACCACTAAACTGATTAAAATCACTAACTGGGATGTGCGTCAAAGGCAAGGTCAATATGAGCAAAAAAAAAGACAAAAATTTAAATCACATCACTTAAGAAGCATTAAGAAGAAGATAAAGGTTGCAAATCACAGCCACATAGTGCCAAGAATTAATTTGATCTAAAAAATTAGAAAAGAAAAAAGAAGGTTAATATTCCTTCCACTTTTTGTAACCTAGTGATTTTAAAGTTCATAAATGAAAACTGCACTTGTTTTTTTTTTCTGCTACTAAGCACACACATTTGTGAGGTATCACAAACAACAAACTTCTTGCAAAGATGGCTGAAGATTAGGGTTGTAAAAAAATTACTTGCTTTGGAGATCTATACTGGAAAAATAAAAGGAATAAATAATATTAATGTTTCTCACCATATTAATAAAATAAAAGGTTTACAACAACAACAAAGTCATTAGGTGTGTTTATACATAAAACAATTAAATAAACAACTGCATGTACAAAACTTCATGGTTTGAAAAGCAAATTTATTTTCTACCCTAACTATGATAATAACATTGATATATTTAATTCACAACTCAGTACCTCCCTCAATCACTTACAAACAATAAGATGATCTATTAGACTTTCCACTGGTATTTAACTCTCTCAACACAGGCTCGGTCAATTTGACCAACCACGTGACCTACTGAACTCGTTTAAAGTCTTTATAAATTTAATACTTCTAACTTTCAATATAATGTGTATATCTTCACAAAATTTGTCAGTCTTTCAGTTAACATTATAAAACCTCCTAAATACATTTCAAACGTTTTTTTCAGTAAAACTTTATATTTATCTGCTATTTTCTATACCCTATCTGTACATGGGATTGGTTATTTTGATCCACCTCGTAACCACCAAAAAAAATAAATCTTAATACATCTAAATTACCCTTTTTTCTTTTGGGAATGACTTCAAACATAACAGTATAAATCTATTTATAATCTATTTATAATCAAATTTTATTGTTTTATTGTCCCCTTTGATTGCCCTTTGAACCATGTCTAACTACTATTTGCACCATTATAACTTGTAAATCACTTAGGAACGTGCAGCTCTCGTTACACTATCGAATTACATTGCCCACGATCTGCTAGCATGCGTCTTATGAAACATTTTTATTATTATTATTTATTTTACCTAGTTTAATCTTAACTAACCTAAAAAGATCCCAATTTTACATTTTTATTATTTTTATAATAATAAATAAAGAATAAACAAATAAAGTACTCACCCAGTCATCTTTTTTCTTGCTCTCAATTGTTGATGACAGTTAACCCTACTTTTTATACTAATGCTAGTAATGCACTAAATAATTTTTATTTAATTAAATAA